TGAGACTGTCTCAAAAAGACAAAAGAAGTGTATGAACCTAAAAATACTTCAAATGTATCTTACAAACCCTAATAGAACCATAAGGAGAAAATATACACACAGTGGAAGATAGAATACAGCTCATAGAAAGTGATAGATCAAATGTATTAGAACAGAAAAAAGGGTAAAGAGCATCTAAACAGTAGAGTTAACAGGCAAAACCTATATATTTGTACTCAAAAATAGTAAAAGGAAGATGACTAACAAATTCTGAAACTTCTCTGACTTAAGTGTATCTTGTCTTGTTTTTGTTTGTTTGTTTGTTTGTTTTGTTTTTCTGGTACTGGGGAATCAAACTTATGAGCTTGCACTTGCCAGGCAGGCACTTATACCGCTGAGCTAAATCCCCAGCCCTGACTTATGTGTACCAAAGTAAGAAAGTAACCATAGAAAAAAAATGGCTCCTCAAAATCCACCACTTTAAAGTGTTTAAGCCACTCTTCTAAGTAACTCAGGAGTTGAAATGACAGTACTTAGAGATGATTGAGCACTGGATTTTACATACATGAGGTGAAAAATCAACACCAAAAAAATTCAGAGCCTAAAGTTCATTTATTCTTTTAGAAACTATATTTGCAGGAGTGTGATCCCAGGTACACTGGGACTTAAGAAGGGTCATTATTTCAAGCCCAACCTGGACACTTAGTAAGACTTTGTTGAAAAAAGAAAAGAAAAAAAGTTTGGAGATGTAGCTCAGGGTTCTCTGGGTTTGACCCACAGTACCGTATCTTATATCTATACTCTATGATAAGAAGAATATGATAAATGTTTAACTTTTTAAATTTATTATACTAAAAAGGCACGTTGCTATTAATCCTCCTCAAAATATTGCCTCCCACCGCAAATGCACCTGTCCCACCATTGCCACCTCTTTCAGAGGTGGTGCCAGGAGTCCTCCTTCAGGAGTGTCATTAGCTGTGCTGTGTGGCCGCCCAGTGTCCTGAGCTGATCCAACATGTTTACCCATCATAGTCATCTCAGCTTTAGGGAAGATCCAGAAGTCACACGGTGCCACATTCAGCAAATAAGGTAGAGGACACACTGGGCAGGAATAATCTCCACAGTTTTGAACATACCTCATACAGACTCTCTTGAAAGAGGATTTCCAGAACTGCTTCAGAAAGTGGACACAGACAAGAGGATAAGTGTACTCAAAGGAAGGCGGACTTACTGGCATTGAGTCTTTTTTTTTTTTTTTTTTTTTTTGGTCTTTTTTGAGACAGGGTCTCACTACGCAGCTCAGGCTGGCCTTGAGCTCACCACTTTGCAGCCCAGGTTGGTTTCGAACTCACAATGATCCTCCCATCTCAGCCTCCTGAGTGCTGGGATTACAGCGTGAGCCACCACGCCTGGCTGGCAATGAGTCTTGAACCTGAATTTCCTCTTTGTGGTCTCTGTGAAACACAAGGAGAAGGATGCTCCTGAACACACTGATGCTACTGTGGCTCTTTACCTGGAACCTCAAAGAACTAGCAGGATCCAAAAGCTTTCCAATCTGTCTAAAGGACATGTCCACCAATATGTTGTGAGAAAGCCTGTGTTTGTTAGGTTTCTATCACTGTGACAAAATACCTGAGAAAATCAATTTATAAAGAAGAAAGATTTATTTTGGCTCCTGGTTTTAAAGATTTCAGTCCATGAGTGCTTGGTCCTATTGCTTCATAGCAACAGCATATGGAGGAGCAGAATTGCTGGGCATGGAGGTGCAGGCCTGTAATCCCAGCAATCAAGAGGCTGAGGCAAAGGGCTAGGGATTTAGCTCTGCAGCGTAAGTGCCTGCCTTGCATGTGCGCAGTCGTGGATTTCAATGCCCAAGATCGCTGGGAGTTCAAAGTCAGCCTGGGCTATAGTGAGTTCAAGGCCAATCTGAACTACATACTGAGATCCTGACTCAAAAAAACAGCTGGGCGTGGTGGCGCAGGCCTGTAATCCCAGCACTCTGGAGGTTGAGGTAGGAGGATCGCTGTGAGTTCAAGGCCAGCCAGGGCTACATATGAGTGCAAGGTCACCCTGAACTGCATAGTGAAGTCCTGTCTCAAAAAGATAAATAAAATAAAATAAGATAAAGAGCAGAATAAGGGATAGATATAGGAATCAGTGAGATCTTTTCAAATGGGAGAGGGAACAAGAGATGGGAGTGAAGGGGAAAAGGTTTTTTTTAAAAAAGGTTTTAAAAAGAGAACCAAAGAGAAAAATGGAAATAGAGTTTTCTCAGTGGGAAAGAGGAACAAGAGTTGGAGGGAGCAGAGAGGACCTGGAAGGGAAGGGAAGGGGACAAAACAGAATTAAGATGTGTTGTGTACACTGACAAACTCGCTGCAATAACTGTAATTATTATGCCCTGCAAACATGTACTGTACTTACTTTAAAAAAAGGCATATGTAGAGGTGGAGGAAATGAGCCCTGCTGAAGAGAGGACCAAGAAAGCCAGGCTCCAGTTCCGCTCACTACCTGGAAGAGAGAAATTATGCACTTCCTTGATCCGGATACTGTCTCAGCCAGCATCCAATCTGGGAAAGAAAGAGGAGCCTCCTGGGTGTTTCAAACAGGAGGAAGTGAACAGCAGAAATTATTACCTGGTACCTCCTTCCTTGTGGTTCCAGTCACCCACGGCAACCTGCAGTCTGAAATGTTTACATAGAAAATTCCAGAAATGAGTAACTTACAAGTTTTAAATAACTTTCATTTTAGCAAAAAGGAAAATAAAAAGCATTTCCATTTCAATTTTACTCAGAAGTAAGATGTTGGTTGCAGCCATTGTAAAATTGAAAATGCTCTAAATAAATACATAGGATTACCTATAATAGAAATTGAAAAGCTCATCAAAACTTTAGGCTTCAAAAAAGACCACTAGGCATTGAGGCTCACAAATGTGTTCCCTGCACTCTGGAGGCTGAGGCAGGAGGAACACTGCAAGCTCGAGACCAGGCTGGGCTACACAGTGAGACCTTGTCTCAAAACAAACGACCAAAATAAGGCCTGAGGTCTAATATTTTTATTTATGAGGTGTACCAAACCATCAAACAATCAGCCACTCATGTTCTGTAAATTTGTCAGGAATGGAAAGTGGTAGGAAAGTTCTCTGCTCATCCCAGAAGATAAACACCAAGCTAATCCCAATAAGGAAAAGAGAAAAAGCAGGAAGTTATGAAGTGAAAATGTGTAGACATAGCTGTCATTGTTTGAAGCCAACAGGCCAGCAAGTAGGTGATCCAAGCAACTCACTGAAAATCTGTAACAATAAACAGGATCTGTGAGGGAGAAGGAAAAGGGCGGATTAGTGAATCAGTCGACAGGCTCTTAGCATTTTCCTAGTCAACACTATACTGCAAGTTTTGTCCTGTGTAATAAGAAAAATAACCAAAAGAATAAGAGTCTGAGCAAAAGTGGAAAAAAAAGCCAAAAACTTGGAACTTAGTTGCCTGTATAAAATACTCAAAAGCAGCTACAGGTAAGTTATTGAAACTAAAAAGAAACTTCAGCAGATATGTAACACTGGTGTGGCTGTATGCTACACCCCCCCCCTTTTTTTTTTGAGATGGGGGCTTGATATATTACCAAGACTGACTATAAATTCCTGGACTCAATCAGTTCTCCTGCCTCAGCCTCCTGAGTAGCTGTAACTATGGGCACGCACCATTGGGTGCAGCAAACTGTACCATTTTAAATAGACAAGATAAAGAAAATACCAAGAAATAATGTACCAAAAGGTGTCTGTGGGAAAATTATAAAATTCTATTGAAGACACCGAATGAGGCCTAAATAAATGGATAAATGGACTGTGTTCACAGCCAGAAGATTTTATCATAAATATGTCAAGATTCCCAAGTTAATGTATGCACCGATGCAATTTCAATAGCACTCTCAACTGGACTATTCATGGGACTTCACAGGCTGATTCTAGTGTGTCTATGAATAAAAAAAGAAAGTGAATAAAGAAGACAAAGGTTGAAGAACAAGGAACAAACCAGATCCCATGCCCTGTGGCAGGGCAAGCCCTACTGTAAGCTACAGTAATCAGGACAGTGTGGCACATCGGTACCAAGACAACCAAATAAACCTACAGGAGAGAATAAAAAGTTTACCACAAGACGTAGCTGTAGAAACATAACTGAGGTCAGGAGAGACATTTCAAACTAGTAGGTAAAGAGCACTATTCAATTAACAGGACAAAACTGATTATCTCTACAGAAAAAGATACAAGCGCACTTCTATCTCAGACCAACACAAAATCCAAGTTAATGAATCACTGTGAGAAAAAAAATTTAGAAGCTTTGAAAGAACATAGTGGAGGGCCAGGGATTTAGCTCAGCAGCACAAGCGCCTGCCTGGTAGGCGCAAGGTCATGAGTTTGATCCCCAATACCAAAAAAAGAACATAGTGGAGGTTAACTTAATGTTCTAGAATCAGGGAGGCTCATTTTAGATGAGATGCTAAAGGCACAAAATATAAAGTAAAAAGTTATAAATTTGACCACATTAAAATTTAAAACTCGAATTCAACCAAATATACAGTAAGTAAAGCTAGAAACAAGCCAATGCCTGGAAACATACTGGTAATGTACATAACTAACAAAGAGGTAACGAGAAAACACACAGCCCGGCCCTGCACCGTCCAATGTGATACCCACAGTGAAAATGTGTGCTTCTTCAGTGTTAATCCTAGGAGCGGAAAAAAATTGAAAAACCTAAATGTCTCTTCACAAGAGGGTGAATGATTCTAATGACACATTCATAGAGCATACTTGAGCAAGTCTACAGACAGGAGCCAATTTATTAAAGTCCTAGAGCTCTCAGAGAAACTCCACACATTTTTATATTGACTGAACAGATCTCAGCATTCAGAGAGTGACAAACACCAAGTTCGCTTTAGTAGTTCTTTCTGAGGAAGGATGCCGAGGGGACTTCACCCATGTGAGGCCGGCTGCAGGGGTGCATGGGTCTCTTGCTTCTCTGCTCCAGGTGTGCCACAGGGGAGGCCTGGCAGGACATCATGCTGGCCTGCATGCCGGGCAAGAAGTGTGCTCCGGAGTCCGAGCCCAGCAACAGCACAGAAGGGGAGACACCCTGTGGCAGCAGCTTTGCTGTCTTCTACTTCATCAGCTTCTACATGCTCTGTGCCTTCCTGGTAAGTAAGGGCAATGCGTGGCGCAGTGCCTTGCACAGGAAGGCGGGAGTGTGCGGTTCCAGGGCAGCCCACAGTAGCCAGGCCACCTCACGGGTAGCGGGTATGTCCAGCCGCCCTCAGCCAGAGTAAGCTCAGTCAGCCTCTTTCCTGTCCCCTCTTGGCTCTTGTCATGGTGGAGTGTCCCCAAAGACAAAGGGGATGAGTGGATGCCTAGCAGGAATTTACATGGCTTTGGTACCTCACGCAGGTGAGGGCAAAGTGACAGATAAAGCCACTCTCTGTCCTGCACAGCCCTCCCCAGTCAAGGGAAGCTGTGTGTCCCATAAGTGGAGTTCAAGTGGAAGCAATGCCAAGTTTATATCCAAGAGACCCGAGTTTAGGGGCTGTGTTCTAAACACCAACATGCTGTGAGTATCTGGAAATATTGCCCTCTGCTGTGCCTAGACACTGGCTGGCAAGACGGGCTCGAGTGACAAAGACTTTACTGTGCAAACTGTTCCCTGCAGATCATCAACCTCTTTGTAGCTGTCATCATGGACAACTTTGACTACCTGACAAGAGACTGGTCAATCCTCGGTCCCCACCATCTGGATGAATTTAAAAGAATCTGGGCAGAATATGACCCAGAAGCCAAGTAAGTCCTACAGGGAACCCTGATTCTCCAAGTTGAGAGGGAAGGGGAGTGGTCATTCCGAGAGAAGAGGTCCAGGAGAGGTCAACATGGGGAGAGCAGCCGGAAACGCTGAGCCATAGGCACCAGACTCCGGGGGGGAGGGAAAAGGCCAGAAGAGGAGGCCAGGGGCTTTTCACTGAGCAGCATCAAAGCAGTTAAGCAGGAGCAGAGGAGATCCTAGTGTCAGGAATAAATAATAAGAATGTACAGAAGGCTGTTAGGGCCAGGAAAACCTCACCTCCACTCCAGGAGTCAGGTCTGAGGGTGCCCTCTGGTACCGATCACCTCTGACTGACACTCTATGCCTTCTGCTAAGGTGGATCAAAGCAGCGAACACAGGTTGAGGATTTAATCACTAAAATACCTTCCAACCTAAACATTGCACTGACAGAAAATCATTCATTAGAAGTGGAGAGAGAGAGAGACAGAGAGAGAGAGAGAGAGAGAGAGAGAGAGAAAGAGAGAGAGAGTGTGTGTGTGTGTGGGCCTGGGCCTGGGTTTTGAAGTTTTGCTGTACAATTCGGCAGTCTGCACCAGTTGGACCAGCAGAGCTGGACCATGTTGAGTCCCCTCTCTCAAGTGGTCCTGTCTCCCAGGCCTCTGAGTCCCTGCTGAGAGTCCTGACTGCCCTCCCCCTCCTCTCCTTCCCCCTCTAGGGGTCGTATCAAACACCTGGATGTGGTCACCCTTCTCCGACGGATTCAGCCTCCTCTGGGTTTTGGGAAGCTGTGTCCTCATCGAGTGGCCTGCAAGGTAAGAGATGACCAGGGTTCAGGGGAGGAAGAGAAAATACAGGAGGCAGATGCACTTCTGAGTTGTGATCTTGGTCAGGCCTAGAACCCCTGCAAGGAATAAAGAAAATATTTTATGCACCTATGGAAATGATCCTATGCCAAATTACATTGTAAGGATCCTTCTAGATCTAAGTTCTCAGGCTCTGTAAGGAAATAACAGGCTGTACCAGTGAGTGTCAAGCCCTGTCTGAATTAAGGATTTGTTCAGCCCATCAGGCTGCCCATCTCAGGTTTCCCAGCCTGGGTGGATGGTCTGGAACTAGGGGCTACTAGAGCATCCAGTAATTGGCTTCAGGCATCACTGAAGTCCTAAAATTATGATATTGAAAATCACTAAACACTCATAAATGTTACCAAGGAGAAGATGTGACTTTCATCAGATTCCTTAATAAGTCTATGATCCTCAATAGGTTCAGACAAACACACTAGGTTCTGTTAGACACAGCTCCTGTGTGACCCTGAGCGTGGCCCCTGACCTGTAACCCCAGAACCCCTTAAGCCTTCTTGTGCTCAACCCTGCTGCCAACAGCTGAGGAATGTCACTCCAACACTCTCTTCCAGGTCCTGCACACCCCCTTTCCCAGCATTCTGAGCTCCCTGCTGAAACAGAAGTCTCTTGGCCCCATGGATGTGGGGCTGTGGCAGCCCAGTGCACCATGTAGGAATGTGTGGCAGGAGAGGTCCACACACCTCATGGTAGCTGGGAAGCAAAGAGAACAGGAACGGGCTGAATTCCCACTTCCCCCCCAGGGGCCATGCCCAATGACCTTCCTCTCACAAGGCCCCACTGCCGAAAGCTTCCACCACCTCCCACAGTCTGGAGGCCAAGTATTTACCATACATGCCTTGGGGGAGCTTCACATCCAAACCATAACAAGCTTAAATCAAATGTAAGCTAAAAGCACAATAGGAAATGAGGTGGGGGAGGAGGGTGATCCCGAGGGCAAACCTCCAGCCAGGCCAGGGGGACTGAGCACTAGGCTGTAAGTTTGCCAGTCCACACTGTCCTTGAGACTCACAAGGTCCTTGATTCAGGAAAAGTGCAACCTTTCTTGGCATGAAGACTAGTAGAGGACTCTGTGCAACCTGAGGAATGACACCCTTGACCACACCCTTAAGGTGGGCTCCATAACCCCTTTCACGTGGTGACCCCAGGTGCACCAATGGCATCCACCAGGGCCCAGGGCCACGGAAGCACATGAGAGCAAGATGGAGAAGTCTCCAATCTGGCTTGATCCATCGGTCAGTTTTTCAGACAGAGAGGTGTGCTGGACCTCCTGCAAGCCAACTTCCTGGGGCATCCCTCCTCTGGTACCTGGGTAAATTTCATATGGCAGGTGGCACCCAGCAAACCCCTGGTGTAGTTTCTGCTGCCAGTTGAGAGCACATCTAAGAAGGACAGAGTCCACCTCTTCCCCCTTGGGGAAGTGAAGCCCAGACTTTCCTATGGTTTTGAAAATATCACAGTGACTCATGCCTGACTCCCAACAGCACCCATACAGGCTGCCACCTGCCCTCCTGGCATCTTTCTTTGGCAGTTCTGTAGAACCATCTGCCCTATTCATTGGCTTTGTCTTCCTCTCCAGCGCCTTGTCTCCATGAACATGCCTCTGAACAGCGATGGGACCGTCATGTTCAATGCCACCCTGTTTGCCCTGGTCAGGACAGCCCTGAGGATCAAAACGGAAGGTAAGAGCCATCCACGGACCCCTGGAACAGCTAGTCAGAAGGTCTAGCAGAATAGGCAGAGAACTCAGTAGCCTGCGAACTGCCCCTGGGACCATCCCATCTGCCACAGCATCCGAGCAGCAAGATGTGATAACCTGCTCTCTCAGCCTGCCCATGTTTTCTTTCCATCTAAAGTGGCTTCATTGCCTCTCACTCGCTTGTTTTGAACTCTTCCTTTCTGTAAAATCTTAGGACTTATTCTGAGTGGTATCTTGAAGTCTTAGGGTATAGTTTCAAATACAAAAGGGGCTGACTCTTAAGCTTCTAGAACTAATCCCCAGCTCAAGGGCTTTTTAGTGGCGACGGGGTGGAGAGGGTGCATCTCAAATGCTCAACACCAATTTAAAACTGAAGAACCTGTGTTAGGAAAGGGACTATGAAAAGTGGAGACGGGGTAAAGGTCCTCCTGTGTGGTTGCGCAGGCTGTACCTGCCCCAGGATGCTTGGCCCTCCAGGAGGAAAGGGCTAAGGTCCCCCAGCACTGCACTGCTCTGCCTGCTGCCAGCGGAGGCCCCTTCTGGTTTGCACAAAGGCACCTGTGGGTGGTCACCTGCTGTCCTCATGACTGGCAGGTGTCCCAAGTCACTCTGGAAAAGGCTGTGTGGAATGGACCTGACAAGATACCACTACTCCCTGCCTGTTACATTTATTTCTCAGGTGGTGGTCAAGGGACCACCAGCCCCACAATCCACTGCCAGGGCTTGCTCGAAGGACTGAGTCCTGAGCCCACCACTAGGAATCTGAATGTCTGGGGGTGAGGCCCACGCATCTGCATTTTGAGCAGCTGCACTGATGACACACATGGGTTAAGCAGAGTGATTGGAAAAACAGACCAGATAAGTGATGTGTTGTCCTCTTTCCCCTCCTCACACTTCTGCCTCAGAGCCCCAGCTCCCAGCCCTGTTGGTCACTTGGTCCCAGGAGGCGCGGGGAGATGAGAGTTTGTACACACATAGCCACATCTCACTGCTAACACATATCCAAGGCCTTCATTAGCTCTCACTGCAGTTTCTTCATTTGTAAAATAAAGAAAGATGGTGACATCTGGGAATTTAGTTCAGTGAATAACCCAGAGAGGGGCCATTTCTCAGTGAAATCCTTCCAGAGAATAGTGGAACCATCTGAAGGAAAACAAGACACAGGCCAGCAAGATACAGGTTCCAAAAACAACCTAATCTTAAAAAATAAAACTAGGTCAAGTTCTGCTGTTAAACTAAAAAGACAGCAAAGGCTAAGAAAAAATAGCATCAGACACCAAGGCAACCAAAATGGGTGTGAACTGGCCTATTTCTGATGACCAAAACAATTAGATTTATATTTAATGCATGTGAGTTGACATTACATAGAAATTGGAAGGCATGTGTTAATATGTTAACACTGAACATCACTGACTAGTAGAATCAGCAGTGATTTAGACCTTCTTTCTCTAGTTTTGTTACTTTCCAAATTTTCTACCACGAATATTATTTTATTTGTGGTTAAGGGGGAGAGTTTTCTTTGCCAGAGAGAGATGACATAATTATAGCTTGATGTAAATCAGGGTGTAAATTTGGTGTCATAGGAACAAAATTGCACAGAAGCCAAGAGTCAGTAATAAAGAAGACACACTGTCCACCAAACCAAATTCAAGTGAAGTAATGCTGACAGCTGTCAGCCTTGCAAAGGGGCTGGCCAGGACCTGAATGAGCTCAGAGGTAGAGTGCTCACCTAGCAGGCACAAGGCTCAGAGTTCCATTATTGGCACTGTAAAAACAAGCAAACAAACAAAAGAGACTCACCTAATTACTCAATGACCAATAGCCTATATCGAGAAAATAGGGATTCCAGAGAAACAGGGAGATGCCACTCACTGGGAACTACAGTCAAAAATGAAAGAAAATCTCTTTGAACCCAATGACATTGCAGAAGAGCCACTAAAGGGCCATAATGCCAGACTCAAGGATGAACTTTCAGGACACACAGACCCTTGAGGATGTGTTAAAATTCCAAGACTGGGACATAAGGCGTGACTTGGTTACTTTTCTCTCCTTGCTGAGGCAAAAATACCTAATGCCCAAAATTAGGGAAGAAAAGGTTAATTTAGATTACAGTTTTTGGAGGTTTCGGTCCATAATCAGCTGGCTCCAAGGCAAGATGGCATGGCACAGGGGCAACACTTCAAGGCAGCAGCCAGAGCAAAAGGAGGAAAACAAGCCTCTTCTCCTCCCTTACACTGTACACAGGCCACCACTCCCCGCTTCAGATGGGCATAGCACTCACAAAATCTCCTTGCCCTCCTTTGCATAGGACTAGGATATTTACAAAGTAAAAACCCTAAACTTCTAAACTTCTCATGTTGACACAATGTACCAACCATAACAAGACATATGCTTAGAAGCAACTGGAAAAAGAGGAGAGAAAACATTCAGATTTGTGAGGATAGGCTTAGATCAGGCCTCCTGCCTAGGCATTGTGAGTGGGAGGAACTGGAGAGAAATCAATACCTACTTCAGAGGATGAAACCTCCCACTCCCAGTCCAGTACCAACAAACAGCTCTTCTCTTGGAAAGGAGATGGAAGATACTTTCAAGTAAGATGATGTGAAATGAAGTTCTGTAGTTACACAGATCATTATGAGAATACACAGAGGCCCTAAAATAATATGAAACCCACAGCTACATAGATCATTATAATAACAAATGAAGGCTCCTCAAAATATAGAACCCACAGTTGCATGTCCTCATTATGAGAATAAATGAAGTCACCCACAAAAATAGGAAATCCACAGCTGCACAGATCATCAGGAGAACAAATGAAGGCCTGGAAAAAAGATGAAATCCACAGTTGCATAGATCATTATGAGAATTAATTGAGGGCCCCAAAATACGAAAGGTCTTCTTAGAAGACACATGTGTTCCGTAGGTTTGTGTAACCTAGGGAAGCTTAAAACAAGAGAAAGTTATTCTGCCATGGCGTGGGAGACCAGAAATCCAAAGGCAAGGTGTGGCAGGGTTGGCTCCTTCGGGAGGCTGGGATCTGCCCCCATGCCTCTCTCCAAGCTTCTGGTGGTTGGAGGCTGTGCTTCCATGCACAGGCTCAAGTTACCACACTCCAGCCGCTTCACATGGCCTTCCCTGGGTGTCCTCTGCTCTTTTTCCAGAGACACCATCACTCGATTCCTGGGCCACCCTAATCCAGCACAGCCTCATCTTAACTAGTAATGCTACTTCCCTCTAAGTTCACATTCCACAGTCCCATCTACCCATGAGTTTTGTGGGGAGTCTGTGTAGCCCTAGACAGAGCATAAGTTTATTTCAGCATGACTCTTCAGGCCTCTTGCGCTGTGCAGGTCAAAAACCAGTAACTGCGCTGAGATAGGGCTTGATGGCCTCCATTGTGAGGCTCCTCTGTGGTCCTCTGGCTTCAGCTGCTGTTGGAATCTAAAGTTCAAACAGAGAAGAACTCCAGAGCTCATTTTTCCATTACCACCTCTGTTTGCTCTCCTGTGTGTCCTAAGAGCTGCACCTAACTCAGGCCATCTAAACAGAACTCCCTGCCATGTGTCCCAGGGCCTCACCCACGTATTGCCAGTGAACAGCACCCAGACTGCTTTCCTGTTGCTGCATCACAAATCACTGCAGACTTCCCAGCTGCACACGACACATAGTTAAAAGCTCAGTGTTCTGCAACCCATAAGTTCACAGAATAGCTGTGTTCTCTGCTGAGGGCTTCAGAACGCCGAAATCAGGATAGTGATTGTTATAACTCGGGCCCCGGTATAAAATCCAAGGAACCAAGAGACCGAAAATTTAGGTAGCGAAGGCTTTATTTCCAGGCCTGGCGACAAGTCTCCGGGAGCCAATTTGGAGACTGTCCCAGAGACTGAAGGGAGGACTTTAAAAAGAGGCTGGAGGAAAAGGGTGGGGGGAGAAACAAAGAAACCTGCAGAGCCATCAAATTTGTTGACCCGAGTCTGGAAACTGTATTGCTGTCCACTTAGCTCTGACAATCTCGGGAGTTCCTGGTGTTTCTCAATTACTCCCATCCTACAGACTGACATTATCTCGGAGTGGCATGTCTGCAGCAATATTTGGGGAAGAAAGTGGACAGTTAATTATCCCAGGACAGCTCGTTTTTGCTAGTGGGGTGCGAAGGGGTCAAGAGTTACAAGAAGCTGAAACTTAAGTTTTACAAAGATCTGATATCTAACTCATTTGATGCATACAGAACAAAAGGAAAGCACCGATTGGGGTTTGGGCCATAGTATTTCCCGGTAATTTCTTTGAAGCTAAACAGTTCTTAAAATTGGGGCAGGCTCATTTTATGACAGATCATCACCGGGTCGGGAAGAGGTCACCAGAAACCCAAATTCTTTATGGCCTAGATAGATAGGTGAGGGGAGAGGGAGGCACCATACAGAACAGAAAACGGTGGTTATGTGTCAAGGTCAGGTAAAGGGTTAAACTCATATGCAAATTTCTCTGCACACAAGCAGGTTACTTTAAACAAGTGTAAATTAGTGGGCCATCCTAGTTTTCTTTAGCTCTTTAGTGGAGAATAGAGGTGCCTAACAGTGATTAACAACCCTTGTTAGCTTGTTTTAGCACAACTTCTGTAGTTTGTAGCGGGCAACAATGGTTAACATATCAATTAGGTGAGATTCTTGCAATTCTTTACAGAGGAGAGTATTGCTCAACATATGAATTAGGTTACTTAACATATCAGTTAGGGAAAAAGGATAAAAAACATTTAATAAGCCACATTGCAGGTTTGCTATAATACACAAAATAATGAAGGTATTTTCTTAGAGTACAACAGTGATCAGGCCATGTTCCCTCCTGGAGGCTCACTCAGGTTGTGGGAGAAATTCATTTCCTACCATTGTCTGTCTACAGTCATTTTCCTGCTAGCTGTCGGCTAAAGACTACTCTCAGCCCCCAGAGACTGCTTCTCAGTTAAGGCCACAGCTAGAGAGCGCTGTCAAAGGGCGTGTGTGATTAGGTCAGGCCCACTGAGATCATCTCCCTGTCTTAAAAATCATAGGTGCCATTCAGACCATTGAATGCAGATATCCTGTGCTCTGGGTGAATGATTTGGGGGTGACAAGGTGCAATGTATGTACCACTGTTGCCCCCTGGTTGATGAGTTTTGAAATTTTTAGTTTTTCTTTTCTTCTTCCTCCTCTTCTTCCTCTTCCTCCTTCTCTTCTTCATCATCATCTTCTTTTCTATCTCTTTCTCCTCCTTTTCCTGCTCCTCCTCTTCTCCTCCTTCTCCTTCTTCTTCCTCTTCTTTCTCTGTCTTTTTCTACTTGAAATAAAATGGATTTGGAGAAAAAAGGGGAAAAAATCATAGGTGCCATACGACCTAATCCTGGGAGTAAAATCCATCACACTCCCAATCCCAGGGTTTTATGCAGGGGGCATGGGGACAAGTGTCTTGGGACGCATCCTAGAACATCCACATCCTTTCTTCCAGCTGCAGGTCGCAGCCTGTCTCTTCTGCCACAGTAAGGCTGTGTCCCAGAGGCTGTGTGGCACAGGCATCTAATTAAGCCTGTTTTACCAATGGAAAAAGTAAACCCGAGCAAAATCTAGAGCTAGAGCCCAGTCCCTTCTGCTTCTGGTGTCAGGTTTTGCCATCTCCCTGCTGTGGGAGACTCAGAGCAGAATCTCCTAGACACAGACACGTTAGCCAGGCCAGAGGGCTGTCCTTCCCTCTGATCACCCACATTCCCACAGCCACCCAGAGAGATCCACAAGAAGTGCCCCCATAGAAAGCAGCCTCAGAGGGAGCTGGGGATTTAGCTCAGCGGCATAAGCGCTGCCATGCAAGCAGGCAGTCCTGAGTTCGATCCCCGGTACTGATAAAAAGGAAAAAGACAAAAAAAAGTAAGCAGCCTCAGGGCTCTCCCGGCGGGGCAATGAGTGCAGGGCTGTGTGTGTGGCTGCAGGCAGGGTAACAGCTCTATCCAGGCACTTGGGAACCAAGTGACTCGGAGACAAGGCATAAAGTGGTGGGGGAAAGGGACACCAAGGCGGCCCGAGTGACATGTGAGGAGGAAGGGAAAATGATGGCATGGGGCAGACACGGGAGAGGAGGAGGAAAGGAGGAAAGCAGCGAGGGTGGGGAGAGGAGTGGGCACAGAGGTGGAAAATTGGAAGACTGGGAGGAAAGCAGTAAGGAAGAAAGTGAAGCTGACCAGGCAGGGAGGTGTGTGAGGGAAGGCCACCATCAGTGGCTTCTCCAGGACCACCATAAGTGACTTCTCGCTTTATTCAGAGGGACCCGGCCCATGGGAGCGCACTCCTGGGGCTCAGGATTGTTCTCAGCCTGGCATCTCCCACCCCTCAGGGAACCTAGAACAAGCCAATGAGGAGCTGCGCGCCATCATCAAGAAGATCTGGAAACGGACCAGCATGAAGCTTCTGGACCAAGTGGTGCCCCCTGCTGGTGGTAAGTGCTGCCTGCAGTCCTGCAGCTGTGGCTTCACGTGGTTTGTCTGCCTTGTGTCTAGACACACAGAGAAAGCCCTTGAGATTCTCCTTTTTGAATCTGCTAGGCTAGACTCTCAGGACCCTGCTTTCTCCGGGTCCTTCTTGTGGGGTTCGAAAGCCTTACTGGTTAGGAGGGAGTAGAAGCAGTGTCTTGAATAAACCTGGATATAAACTGTCAGGCTGGAAACCTGCTGCAGTCTCGCACTACGCACCCTGGGACCAGCGAGCCCTGGATGCATACAGGGTTGCAGAAAGTCCCAGAGGCCTGCAGAAAGTGCGGATTTCTTCGTAAGCCTCTGGCTTTTTACTGGAGGACTGCTTTAGGGGCCTAAAAGGAAAATCCCTTGAGATTATCCCTCTTTTGAAATTCGTTTCCTTCTTCCTGGTGTGGGGTTCTCATCTCTACCAAGCCCAAAGCCTCTTTTTATAGCAGATAATTTCTACTGTCTCATGGTCCACAAGTGAAAATAGTAGTGGTTTTCTGATACATGTAGTTTCCGAAGTATAGCTATATTGCTGTTCCCAGAAGAATTAAAAACATCATATCACAGTGATATATGTGCACCCACGTTCAGCAACACAATTTGTAATAGCTAGATCTTGGAAACAACCCAAATGCCCATTAACTAAGGAATGGCCTAAAAGAAAAGTGGGCTTTTTTATATAATAGAACACTACTCAGTCATAAAGAAGGATAAACTCGAGACTTTTATAGGTAAATGCTCAAGACAATACTCATAAGTGAAGTAAATCAGACACATGTGTAAACATCATACAGTCTCACTAGTGTGAGAGCCTGAGCCAGTAAATAGGACCCAAAATGTAAATAGATGTTGAGAATGGGGAAGAAACTGTTCAAAAGAAAACAGAAACTCTGATGGGGAAAAAGGAAAAGAAGGAAGGAAAAAGGGAAAAAAGTATATTTATATAAATACAGATATACACATACACAAGGTAGCTAAGATAGTTTCTCTTAGTTCATTAAAAGGATTTGTTCTAATGTTGTTTGGACAGATTCTCATGCTTATATCCTGTGTCCTGAGTAACTACTCTGAGGATAACAATATGCAATGTATCGGTTATTGTTACTCTCCTATTATCTTGTTTTGAAATCCTGTTTTTTTCTTCTTTTTATAATAAATGAAATGTTTTTTAAAACTATAATGCTATGGTTCTAGTATGAAATACATTAATAGCAAATGTTTTCATTTAAATGCTCAGACACAAGTATGCGGGAAGTGATAATAAACTGGTAAAATGCTCAGTTGCAACCGCTTAGAGCAAATAAGTTTGTATTGAAAGAAAGTCAAGGGAGCTGGGGATTTAGCTCAGCAGCATAAGCGCCTGCCTTTGCAAGCAGGCAGTTGTGAGTTCAATCCCCAGTACCGATAAAAAGGAAAAAGACAAAAAAAAAAAAAAGAAAGTAAGAAAAGGCTAAATATTGTCAACACTTTGGATCTGTCATTTTGAAATAAGGGTTAAGTAAATATACTTAGTAAGTATATTATTTATTTTAGCTGTCTTCTGGCAGCTGGCAAACACCCGGTACATTTCCGAACTACCCTTAAGAAGTGACACCTCCTAAAGAAAACATTTTCCAGCAGAAAGCCAAACTAGGGCTAAGACGCACCACACTAGGCCAAGTGTTGGCTTATAACCAGTCGTTTATTTGATTCTTAAAACACTGCTCTGACTTTTTATCAAGGAACCGAGGCTCTTAGAAGCTAAGTAGCTGTCCCTTGGTTGCAGGATGAATAAGTAGAATCAGGGTTTTAAACCCAGGTCTTTGGGAGTCTAAAACCTTAAGCTTGTTCCTGACTTCCCTGGATGGGACCCAGGGGACCTGGGTCCACCTCCCACACAGGAACGAGGCCCCACCAGGTGAAACCCATCAGTGAGGTAGAGTTGGCTGTTTGTAAAGGACAGCGAGGATCAAGACAGCCATCACGAGCTGCGCCCTTCACAAGAGACAGGAGGCAAAGACCACTCGCTTCCCATTGGCTTCCCTGCTGTCTGCTACTGGCCTGAGACACAGACCAAGATATCATATGTGTGACCTTGGGTGACCAGCCCAGGGCAGACGCTTGAAACAATAACCATTCTGTCGGACTGAAAGGAAAAATCCAAACTTCAACAGCAAGAAAGTGTTCCTTCTACCCCCAACGTTCAATCTCAAAACAACTATGTTTGTACTCCATTTATAATAGAATCAATAAGAGTTAGCAATGACAGTTCAGGGTAACAAAATTCAAGGGAAGAAATAATTTTTGGCACTAATAAATTTTGGCACTAAGATACCTACCTGTATTCAAAACTTAAAAAGAGAAGAAACCAGGTATAGTGGCCCGCCTGTTGCCCCAGCTACTCAGGAGGTATTTGCATTAGTAACCTCTGGAAAAAGTCAAGAAACTAATTTTTTTAAATGGCCAGCTCTGAGGAAGTGAGAACTAAGCAGATAAGGGATAGACATTTTACTACATACTATTTTATATATTTTTCTCTTTTTTACTAAAAAAAACCCAATAAAATTAAAAACACAAAGAAATTTTGGATGCTGAAAGCAATTAATGAATTCTAACTGACTTACTCTGTTTCCTCCAATCCTCTCCCCTCTCCGTGTCTCAGATGACGAGGTCACAGTTGGCAAGTTCTACGCTACTTTCCTGATCCAAGAGTACTTCCGGAAGTTCAAGAAGCGCAAAGAGCAAGGGCTTGTGGGCAAGCCCTCCCAGAGGAATGCTCTGTCTCTACAGGTGAGGAGCTGGAGAGGGGCCACATGCCAGCAAGGTCCTGGCCATCTTCCTCTGATCCTACATGTCTCACCAGGAGGCTGAAGCCCAGGTCCCTTCAGAAAGAAACTTCTGGGGGCTCCAAGCATTTCTGCAGACAGATGTGAGAAGGGGCACCATTCCCCCTCACTCCGCCCTGCACAGTCCTGCCTGCCACCCCTAGCCCTAGAACACTCACATACTCAGCTGAGGTTCCCGTGATCCCCCGGTGCCTGGTGGCTCTAGTGTTCTTTCATTCCTCTGGATAGAAAAGCAGACTGTCCCAGCCCAAGAGGCATTCCAAGAAAGTCCATCATGGTCTAAAGAGCCACTGCCCAGCAGGGAAGCTGAGGGTGCAGGGGCAGGTGCTGACTGGCTGTGAAGGTCAGTGGTAAGGATCGGGTCCTCCTGTGTCCCTCTGGGTTCCAGGCTGGCTTGCGCACCCTACATGACATTGGACCTGAGATCCGCCGAGCCATCTCTGGAGACTTGACTGCCGAGGAAGAGCTAGACAAGGCCATGAAGGAGGCTGTGTCTGCTGCCTCCGAAGATGACATCTTCAGGGTAGGTACCATGACACTAGTGCTTTCGGTTATTTACTTTTTTACCTAGTTTAGGGTAAAGCAAAAGAGTGGATAGACTGTGTCCTGCCAAGAAAACCCAGGAGGAAAAGTCTGACCTCTGCGTCAGGGTCCAAGGTCATCTGCTCAGCTTTCCCCTAGTCAGACACAAGCCTCCACCCTTGTGTCTGACTCTGTATCATAGGAGCTCCCCTAGGACCCAGCAGCTCAGAAAAGCAGGAGGCCTTAGGGTTAGGGAAATACTCCCTGGGAGAAACTTGTACTTGAGAAGTTTTGGGTAACTTCTGGGCCATACCAGATCCACACACTTATTTGCACTCCTGTCTTATTGGACAATACTTGATTTGAACACCTGGAACATTCAACTAAAGCTCCAGGCTTCTGGCTTTCCCTGGAAAGTACCACAAGACCTGGCCATCCTGAGAAATGTCCCCATGCAGCAGCAGGGGTGGGAGTCGAGCAGTGGCTGCACAGTCACGTGAGCCCTGTGTTGTCCAGGTCACAGCAGTCCCTCCAGGCCTCTCTTTCCTTTCCTGGAGACTGAAGCTGACCATCCATAGCAATCGTGAAAATACCAGATCTCTCTCTCTCATATCACCTCTCTTCATTCATTTGTGTTACCTGCCTCACCCCAAAAGCATTTGGCTAAAATTCCATTTATGGCAAAAGCAAAGCTACCTGTTTGGCTTAGCCCTGTGTCCAGGCACCTACCCAGCACATGTAGGGACCTAGGATCAGCCCATCCTGCCCCTGATCCTTTATCTCCACCCTCATCCGCATCCTCATCTTCATCCTCATCACGTGAGACATTTACCGAATGGCCTCAGGGACACTGTACCACGTTAACACCACCCAAAAAGATCTCAGAAGCACAGGCCTGATCGCCAGAAGCTCACGATGTTCCGATGTGGGGAGGGACACCACCCCCCACCCTGCACAAAGGATAGACACCCTTAAAACCAGCTAGAGCACAGCCTACTTGTCTAGGGAAGGAAAGATTGTTTGGAAAAACAGTGGTCACTAATTTTAAAATCTTTCTAGAGGGGAAGAGGTCATGACATAATTGATGCTTTGTCCTTATTTTTCCACATTGTTTGGCCATCACAGCTTCTAGCTCTGTGAGCTGGTGGGTTTCCATTTTGAAGAAACCTAGTTGCTTTGGTCCCTTTCCCGACCCCTCAGTTCCCACAGTGGGCTCTGCCAAGTTAAGCAGCTGAGGCTCTGAAGGACCCCCATCCTGGACCTGCCCTGGAAACCCAATGCTGGTCTCTGGGATCCCAGGACCTCCTGGGAAGGCTGTCACCCGCAGAACCTCCTGCCGGCCCCCATTCCCACAAGAAGGGTGCTGTCCTCCGCATCTTCTGGACTCCCAAGAAGGAGCCTGGGGGGCTTAGCACTCATGTTCCTCCCATCCCACCATGTCCGTGCCCCTCAAGCACAGGCAGGTTTCCTGTGGGCAGCATGTCCCTGCCCAGCTGTCCACTGCTGCCCTGGGGAAGGAGAGGCTGCCAACAGCCTTCCCTCCACCCACCCTCCCTCTTGCCTGCAGAGGGCGGGTGGCCTGTTCGGCAACCATGTCAGCTACTACCAAAGCGACAGCCGGAGCACCTTCCCCCAGACCTTCACCACCCAGCGCCCACTGCACATCAACAAGGCGGGTAACAACCAAGGCGACACTGAGTCACCCTCCCACGAGAAGTTGGTAGACTCCACCTTCACCCCCAGCAGCTACTCGTCCACTGGCTCCAACGCCAACATCAACAACGCCAACAACACTGCCCTGGGCCGCTTCCCCCACCCCGCCGGCTACCCCAGCACGGTCAGCACCGTGGAGGGCCACAGGCCCCCCTCATCTCCTGCCACCTGGGCGCAGGAGGCCACGAGGAAGCTCGGCGCCATGAGGTAAGCAGGAGGGTGGGCCCAGCTGTGCACAGGAACTCATGCACGTAGTCTGAGGACACCAGCATGGAGGAGACTTGGACCCTGCGCGAGCCCACTGCTCCCCACCAGCTCCCATGGAGACCCCTACCCACTCCCCATCCATGTGAGGGAGCAGGCACCAGGCTGCCAGTCAAAGTTGCCCTTGACCAAACATGGCAGCCATGCTCTAGTGAGCCAGCACCCTCTGTTGGCCACATCTGGCAGAGGTTGCTCCTTGCCCAGGCTTTCTGACCAGGTGCATGCTGGCACATGACCACCCAAGATGTGTGCAAGGGCTACACGGCAGGAAGTACCCTCCCCCTGCCCATATCTGCTCGCACTGGCCTTCCACTTCATCACACTGGCAGATGAGATGGGAAGGGTAGAAGGGTAGAAGCACCTCTTCTTTACAGCACCCCGCCAACTCCTGGGGACAGTCTGCTGGCAGCCAGTGCACTGCCTCATTCTGCCACAGGCCAGAAGCATCCTGAGGGTCCACTGCCTCTCCCGCCTCCTGACTCTCCCTGCCTGCCTGCCTGCCTGCCCTCACTGTAGGGTGCCCTGCTAGTGCCCAGCACCTTGCCATGTCACCCTCAACTGTGCTGCTCTCCCAAAACAGGGCCATCACTCCCCAGCAGGCTGAACGAATCCCCACAACAGGCCAGCTTCTGGGGCAGAACACCTTTTCCCTGTGCACCAGCTCAAAACAAAAACAACAACAACAAAATGACAAAGTATAATCCCCCTGGATCCCTGGACTAATGTCCCGAAGCTGCTGCCATCCAAGGGGCCAGCACACTTGCCCATGTCCCTAGGCAGCGCCCACTTCAAGAGGCCACAGAGGCTGGGTTTTTTAATGCAATTTCTGATGACAGGCAAGTTACACTGGCTGTCCATGCCATTCGCCATATTCTCTGGAAGATGGGCTGCTTTAACCACCCAGTCCTGACTGTAGAGAGTCGTGGACTCAGGAGACATAGACTGATCCTTTATCCCTGGGGCAGTGTGCTGACCTGAAAGGGTGGCTTTCCCTGGAAGATGTAAGTTTAAGTGGCTCCCCCAAGCTTGTCTTGGTGGCCCCTCCGTTTGCTACAACCCTAGTTCTCCACCACAACCTTTTTCCTAGTATCACTTGTGCCTTGTGCTCCTTGTCAAAGCCTGTTCTTGGGGACTCTTTATGTCCATCTCAGTATAAATTAAATTCCCTCCTTCCAAGAGCATTTTCATATTAAACTTTGTTCTGTACTAAACAAGAAGAAAATGATTTCTAGAGAAGAGCCAGGGAGCCAACCAACATCAGGGGATTTCTTCTCCCCACAGATGCAACTCAGTAAAATATAACACACAGTAACATCAGTTCCCCGCTTCCCATTATAGCTAATAAAAACGCTCAGGTGCTAAGCTTTCACAGATAATGAGGAAAAAACACAGCCAGGGTTTCAGCACTGGGTCTTGACCTTCAAGGCTAAGAGCAGTGGCCTCCTGGAAATTGCAGTCTCCTAACCCCCTGGACAAGAAAAAGGTGAAGGATAACAGAGAAGAAACAACACAATATGGTTCTCAGGAGCCCAGGAAGGTCACAGCACTCATGGCTGAAACAAAGACTTCTCCAGATTGCCCACTGTTTATTGGGTAATTTCACATCAGGCTGGTGCAGGGAAGTGTGGGGGAAACCTGCGGAAAAGGGTCCATAGAGAGCAAGGACTTGTGAAGTGGAACAAAGACATTTCAAGTAGTAAATCTCGCTTCACAAGAGAACGGTTTGATCTGTCAGGTTGGCAGCACAGGCCTGAGTTCTGAGTGAGACCCGGTGCCCTCAGCTTAGTGTTATCCTGCCTTCAGAGGCACCACAGTGTGCAGACACCACAGGTCTCTCCCATGACTGTGGTGTGCAGAGTTCTAGTTTCTGCACACCGGCACTGGCTTGGGAAAAGACTCATAGTTCATTTAGAAAGCAAATTGAGGGTTGGGGATATAGCTCAGCAGCACTGTGCCTGCCTGGCAAGTGTGAGGTCCTGAGTTCATTTCCAGGTACCAAGCAAAACAAAGAAAGCCAAGTGATTAATTCTAAAGCCTTCTCAGCTCCACTCTAAAGACCACATCAGGCTCCAGTGTCGGCGCCGCACTGCTGAGAGCAGAGCACACAGAGCTCTGCCTGGAAGCGGTGTCACCACCCTCCGCCATTCTCCACCACCAGTCCACCTATCACACTTGCCAGAACCCTCCACATCCCTCTCCACCTCCATCCAGAGCCTCCCCTATTTCATCCTTCCCTCTGACTGGCGGTCCAAAGCATTCCTGGTGTGGGAGGGTCTGGAGCTCAGAAAGGACCCAAGCTCAGCAGGACCTCAGGCTCAGCAGGACCTCAGGCTCACACACCGCGGGGCCCCCCCCCCCCCCCGCCCCCAAGCTCAAAACAAACCCCTCTGCATAAAGTTTCTTCCCTGCACCTTCACTGCAAGGAGCTAGCATCAGAGTCGAAGACACGTCAAAATATGATGCCAGGAACTTCTCAGCTGTGTCACACAAATGCCCAAAGACTCAGCCACCTTCAGCTGCCCCATCTTACCCTGTACACTGCAGCCCAGCAGTCTTCTTTAAAAGCAGGTCCTTCCCCCACTTTACAGCACCATCTTACCTATGATTTCATTTGTTATTCCCTACAAGCCCGAGTCAGGCAGGGAAGGTGATACTCCAATTTCATAGAGGGGAGCTAAGAGTCTTGAGCAGGAGGATAAGTGAAATGGGCCCAGCACTCACAGCTCCTTGGATCCTCCTCCTCCCACCTGAGCCCAGAACCCTAGTCTTCATACATCTATAGCTCCATAGTATCCTCAGTGATTGCAGGAGGAAGCAGCTATGGCAAATGTGTCTGAAGTGTGTACTCGTGTGCCTCTGAATACACACATGTCTGCGTGTGCATGTGCCTGTGAGTATGCACATGTCTGTGCGTGTATGTTTGTCCTTGTGTGTATGTATCTATATGCATGTAAGCCTGTGTGTTCATGTGCACATGAGCGTGTACATGTACGTGTGTCCGTGTATACCTGTGTCTGTGTGCACATTTGTGTGCACGTGCACCTATATGTGTACATATGTGTGTGCATGTCTGTGTGAGTATGTGTGTGACATCTTACTTGCTGAAGAAGGACAGGAGGGTTGGCAGTTCCTGATCTTTGTCTCTGTCTTGGACACTGTAGGTGCCACTCCCGGGAGAGCCAGATAGCCGTAGTGTGTCAGGAGGAGCCTTCTCAGGACAAGACCTATGACGTGGAGCTGAATAAAGATGCTGAGTACTGCAGCGAGCCCAGCCTGCTCTCCACAGAGATGTGAGCTTCCCCACCTCCTACCCATAGGGTGCAGGACCAAGGGAAATCACTCCTGTGGGCATGACTTGGGAGCGGGGGGGGGGAGGGGGGCGGGAGGGGGGGAGGACTGCGTGCCAGTAAAGCACCTCATTAGAGGGATGGGAAGCCCCCCCACACACACCATCCCCTTTTACTGTGGCCTTCACACACAACAGAATGCTTCCGGGAAAACATCTGAGTATCATCTCTGAAGCTTTTAGTGCTACAATCACCGGTCATAAATAGGTTTCCTAGTGAGACTCAGCACACACACATGCATGTGGCCATTAAGCAAATATTCTATGAAACTGCTTACAATAAAGCTGCCCAGAAGAGAGCACTGTTGGCAAACCTAGGGCACATGGTTCTGTCCCTCGTGAAATTTCAAGTCAGTTACCACCAAGACTTTCAAAAGAACAGCAAAATTACATGTTTTATGAGTAGCGCAAGAGCTCCAAACAAAAACCAGTGATAATGAGATGGAAATACTAATTATCCTAATTCGATCATCATGCACTATATACATTGTTGAAATATCATGCTGAGCTTCATAAATATGCACAATTATTAGATGTCAATCAAAACTTTTAATTTTTTAGGCTGGGGATTTAGCTCAGCAGTATAAGTACCTTGCCTAGCAAGTAAGTTACATCCCTGGTACCAAAATAATAGTAATAATTTGAAGCCAATAGAAATTTTAACCACACTGATTTGATCGCTATACACTGTATCCATGTAAAAATAGAAAGAGAATCACAAGTTCAAGTCCACTCCACACAATTTAATAACTTAGCAAAAACTTGTCTCAAAATAAAAAAGGGCTGGGGGTTTAGCTCCATGCAGAGGCCCTGGGTTCAGTCCCCAGTACTGCAAATAGACAGTAAAATAAGCACCCTGTACCCCATAAATATGCACAGTTAAAATAGTAATAAGATAATTTAAGATGAAATATAGCATAGTCTAGGACAATAGAAAATATCAGCATGAATCAGAGATAAGAACCATGGCTTTACCCCCAGGTATGTCTGTATCCACCAAGCCTCAGGCTGCATTCACAACCATTTCAGACATGGCTTTAGAAGCCATCCCGAAAGCACTTTGTTAGTGAGGAAGGACGAGCCTCTGAGGCTTCTAAAGAGGAGCGAGGGTGTAGAGAAGGGGGCAGTGGGGGACCCCAGCCCCAGAGTAGCCACAGCCAGCTCGGCAGCGTGAGGCTCCCTGGAGCCCAGGCTTCTGCCCAGGGAGCTGGGCTGGAGAGCAGCAGGCCCGTCTCCCCTTCCCAGTGTGTACCAGAAGCAGCTCAGGAATGAGGAGAGATGTGGAGACACGGTCAGAGCAGCGAGCTGAGCTCTTGTGACCCGTCAATTAACCTCGAGTGCCTTCAGGTCCCCACAGCAGGCAGGGAGGGGGAATAGCACCCCTTCCTTCTGCTTCCCTAACTCAGTGGCATTTGTGCTTTGGTACCAAGGAAGAGAAATGCCTGAAACTCCTTAAGACATGTCATTCTCTAAGCCGACTTCTACAGAATGTTAATTACTTGAGGCCACAGATGGTGACAATCAGGAAAGCCAACTGTTCCCTCCCATTCCAGCTCTCATGGACCATTTGCTGAGTCTAGAGCTCTACTGGCCGTGAATTAACCAGCTGTGAACTCAGGGAGGTTTTCTAAGTAGTCAGGGAGGATCTCACAGGAGGCGATCCCATGGAGACAGTCTGACTGCAAACACCGCGGGGCACAGGACTTCAGAAAAGGCACAGGGCACAGTAGCCGTGATGGCACCACATGGAAGTATCCAAAGCTGGGTCTGCAGGCATGGGGATGGTGGGATAAGAAGGAAGGAGGACCCACAGTCCTGCTGCCTTAGGACAAGAGCAAAGCCACAGGTAGAAAGATGTGAGGTTTACAAGACAGGGTGGATTCCAAGCAAGTGAAGCCTACACAGTCAAAGGTGAGGAAACCTGGCAGAGGGGAGGGAGGGAGTTGCCCAGTGGTAGAACACTTGCCTGGCAGCTGGAGGCCCCAGAAGCCATGGCCAGCACTGCAGTGGGGAGGGGCCAGTGAGGAGTAACACCAAGGACAGAGTCGGTGGCCTCCTGGACAACATGAAAGGGCTGGACAGCACCTGTGTCTCTCACACTGCAGGCCAACCTGCTGGGGATTGTGAGGTCACCTCAGGGGGTTGTAACCAACATTTTTAATAAGATAGGACAGATTACAAGTCATGCACACACTCAGGGTAGCATAGGCCGTGAAGCTTCACTCAGTTAGGCGTGTCTGTGTACTGCTGGAGATGGAAAATGCATTTCTTGTTGTGAGTCACCATCCAAAGGCTTGAAAGCCACTGCCACACTAAGACCCCCTATGCCCTGCTCTCTGCTGACTGAATGACTCTGTGTCTGCTGTAGGCAGTGGCTTATGTGCTCTTGAGGTTGAAGGAGCTGGCAGGGGAGAGAAAACTGAGAAGTGGGAGAGTTTAGGGTAACACTGAGCATAGCATGGTAAATAGCAGGGGCCCTTGTAAACACAGGAGCCTCAGCCGCTCCAAAAACCTTAGAGCCCTAGAAAATTTTCCCCACATTCTCAATATCATTGGCCCATGAGCACTTATACTGCCCCAAATCAGAAATGCAAGATGCCACCTGTAATCCCAGCACTCAGGAGGCTGAGGCAGGAGAATTCTTGAAAGTTCAAGGCCACCTTGGGTTATATAGCAAGACCATGTCTCAAAAAGTACCCCCCGCCAAAAAAAAGAAAAAAACAAAGAAAGAAAGAGAGAGAGAAAGAAATGCAAGACACAGAGCTGAGGCATGGCTCGGTGGTGGACACTCACCTAGCCTGTGCAAGAGTCTAGGCTACATGCCAGTGCCACAGGATGAAAAGCAGCCCAAAGCCCATAAGGTGGGCTGTGTGTGAGGAACTAGCAAAGCCCGCCCACACACACACACAACCAGCAGACCTAGGAAACTCCTGGGATGCCAGAAAACAGGATGGAATTTCTTAGGCTGGCAAGTTTCTGCTGCACCTGTGTAAGCCTATACACAAGCACAATGTAGGGTGGGGTCCATCTCACTAAGGCAAATGCAAACTGCCTTCTGGGGATAGCAGCTCTCCCTGTGTGGGGGAGACTTCTTAGCTCAGGAACATACCCCAAGAATCTTTTGTTCCAGGCTGTCCTATAAGGATGATGAAAATCGACAACTGACACCGCCTGAGGAAGACAAGAGGGACACCCGGCCCTCTCCAAAGAAGGGTTTCCTCCGCTCCGCCTCCCTAGGTAAACATACACCTCGCTCTCCTGATGTGGCTAGTGGTCACCCCAAGATGACACTGGTAAGGTACACAGGGTTACCTGAGAAACTGTGTGGCCTGGCTCAGACAATCTCTAGTGGGGCCAGGCAGAATTCCAAAGTACTCAAAGACAAGGGGAGGGCCAAAGACATGCTGTATCCCAGGGTACTGACACTGCGTACTGCACCCTAACTGGGTATGTGCCAGTCAGTTTTCTGTTACTGCAACAATGTACCCAAGAGAATCAACTTAAAATAAGGAAAGGTTTGTTTTGGCTCAGTTCAGGAGGTTATTGTCCATGGTGGGTTGGCCCCATTGCTTTTGGGCCTGTAGCAAGGAAGCACATGGTGACAGAATTATATGCTACACTATTCACTTCTTGGCCAGGAGGTGAAAGAAAAAAGAGAAAGATAATAGGCATCCCACAGCCTCCTCCAAAGGTGAGTCCCCCACTAAGCTCCCCCTCTCAAAGGTTTGCACCACCTCCTAGAAATAGCAATCCAGGGACTCAGCTACTAACACATGGACCTTTGGGAACATTCAAGATCCACATTATAGCTGAGCCATCAGGCCAACATCATGTCTTGCTGCCCTGATCATGGTTGTTTGGCTGGCTTTGCAGGTCGAAGAGCCTCCTTCCACCTGGAGTGTTTAAAGCGCCAGAAGAATCATGGGGGTGACATTTCTCAGAAGACAGTCCTACCCTTGCATCTGGTTCATCATCAGGTACACACTTTTGGACAGGCCACTGGCCACCACTTCATAGGCTAAACCATCCCCTGAGACGTGAAACCCACGGTCTTCCTACCAAGCACATGTTAGAACATGAGCACATCTTAGAACAAAGGAAAACTTCAAAAGGCTACCAGATGTGTCTGTGACCTCCAGGCAAATTGGTGTCTAAACCTGAGTTTCCTCAAAATTTTATCTCTACAGTTACAGACTCTCTTACCATGGACCTGTAGACTCAACTGCCAATCAAAGCTTATAACCAGTATAAGATGGCCAATATGACTTGACTAAGTTGATATTACTTCAGCTCAAAGAAATACAGTTTTGTCAGCTGTCAGTGCTGACATTCATGAAGCCCTGGGTTCCATCTGCAGCCCTGAAGAGAAAAAAATTAAGCCATATATGTATGGTTTTGTATTTCACCTGTGGCATGGCATAGTAGGTCTATTACTGGGCTTTCTGAAATATTTGGCTTATCTTTCAGTTCATTCGAATCTCTATAGAGACACAGAAGCCCCAGGCTGGGTCTATCATAAGCCAGGAAGAAAAAGCATGGCAGGATGTGGGGCCGCTGTATGTACTCTTTTAAAAGATTTTTAGAAGTCGGTTTCATGCACATGTTCTCATCATTCTGGTAGGCAAGAAACTCTTTCTCCTCCTTTTCATGCCTTTGGGCCACCGCCATCCTCTCCATCCCTCAGAGCTGGGTTTCCCCACCACACGGTGTCACTCCCTCACACAGACATGTCACATCTGAGCAGCTGGCACTGCAGAGCCAGGCACAATGCAGGCTGCAGTCCCTGTCTGCGGGATGTTCATGAGCATTTGGGAACAGAGGGTACCATCATCCAGGCTGTGGTGTACAATGTAAGATTTAAGGAATGGTTCAAAGACAGTCCAAGCTAAGACTGCAGGACATGACTAATGGCAGGAATCACTGTAAGAACCAAAGCAGCAGCTATTGGCTTTGCATAGCTCTTTCTGATGGGCACTGACTTCACACTGACTGCTCAGGTAGATGGCGGAGAGGAATCAGTGCCTTGCCCTCCAGAGGATGCAGGCATCATCCCTCTCTTTGTTCCACTGATGAAAACAACAGAGACGGCTCACGGTTTAGACGGATATGAAAAGCAGATGATATGATTCTGCCCAAAATAGATTTCTTGAAGTTAAAAGACAGCCAGCTGGGCATGGTGGACCATGCCTGAAATCCCAGCACTTGGGAGGCTGAAGCAGGAGGATCACTGCAAGTTCAAGGCCAGCCTGAACTGCATAGTGAGACCCTGTCTCAGAAAGACAAAAAGAGAGATAAGGAGGGAGAGAGAAAGAACACAGCCACCACTTCAGACTGAGATGATAAAAAAAGTATCTTGAGGACTAGAGGTGTAGTTTACATGAGGTCCTGAGTTCCATCCCCAGCACATGCCTATATATGAGAGAGAAAAAACAAGAACGAACGCAAGTCCAGTTCTGGTGAGATGGGATTCACATGGTGGACGGTGATGGCCATAGGAGTTCCGGGCAGATGGAACTCCCGGAAAATGCAGCTGCAGAGCCGTGCGGGAGACGGCAGCCAGCCTGCCTCTGGCCTGACCGCTCCCAGTGAAGCCTCCTCTTTGTGTGTTCGCAGGCACTGGCCGTGGCGGGCCTGAGCCCTCTCCTCCAGAGAAGCCATTCCCCGACCGCCATCCCCAGGCCGTGTGCCACACCCCCTGCCACGCCGGGCAGCCGAGGCTGGCCCCCGAAACCCATCCCCACCCTGCGGCTAGAGGGCGCCGAGTCCTGCGAGAAACTCAACAGCAGCTTCCCGTCCATCCACTGCAGCTCGTGGTCAGAGGAGCCCAGCCCCTGCGGCGGGGGCAGCAGCGCGGCGCGGAGAGCCCGGCCCGTGTCCCTCATGGTGCCCAGCCAGGCCGGGGCCCCGGGGAGACAGTTCCACGGCAGTGCCAGCAGCCTGGTGGAGGCGGTAGGTGCCCCTGCCCTGCACAGCAGACAGGGAGGGAAAGGCCAAGGAGGAGGGAGAAGGAGCCGCAGGTTTGGGTTTCTCGGGGCCAGAAAGACCTGGTGTGTGGCAGTTAGGCTGCTGCTGGCTTCCTTGAAGCTGGCCTGCTGTAGAAAGAGAACGAAATCACTGGGCAGTGCGTCCCCGCCACAGGCCAGCGAAACCTAGGAAGCAGGCTGTGAATGCGTGCTGCGCATGCCCAGTGCCCTGATGCACTCTGCGTCTGCACAGAGCAGATCGAGATTAATAGTTCTCAACCCTCAGCCCACATGCAAATCCCCCGAAGAGCTCTAGCAACCATGACACATGCAGCTACTTTTAAAGTCTGTAATGACCCAAGTACACGGCCAAAGTCAAGAGCTCCTACTCTGGAGCAAAAAAGCATCAGTTCCACTAACCTCTACCCTGTAAGAGCATCTCGTTCGATCCCAGCACCTGATTTTAGGGACCTTCTGACAAACTGAACTTAGTACTGGAGTGATTAGTGCAGCCTGACAGGTGGCGGGTTTCAGCTCATCAGAGGAAGACTCTACCAAAAGAACCCCAAATGAGGGGTTCTTTCTTGTAAAGCAGCGCCCCCTATCAGTGTGTGTAGGCAGCAGGGACAGCACCCCTCTGATCAACAGGCTGCCTAGTGAGTGATCTCTGCAGTCCCTTATGTCTCTAGAGCACTGGAGCTTCCCCTGAATGTGGCTGTCCTTCATTCATTTTCCAGATTTCTTTCGAGAACCTACCAGCTGCAGGCATTGGCATAGGAAAAACAGAGCCTTCATGGGCTCACGCTGTGTAAGGAGAGGCAGGTAACTCATAAACATACATGAAACATGTCAGGGGAGAGCAGGAGAGGGACAGGATCGCTAAAGAAAAGTTAAGCAGGACAAAGAGGAAAGGTGAGTAGAGGAGCAGGACAAGCAGACGCCGGGGGAAACACCTGCTTCCTACCATCCCTCCTCAGGAGCCAGTGCTCCCCTAGCTCGTGAGGGTGAGAGCCTTGAAGGCCTTCAATGGCAGACACAGCCTGCTGTGGCACTCGGGCCATAGGTCCACCCTGCTGCACTTTGCTGGTCCCTAAGCAGCCGGTGAAAGGAGGAAGCTTGGGGTCACCTTCTGGCCCTTCAAAGCACAAGGAGGCAGGTGCAGGCAAAGTGTTTTGCATACACCCCACTTAAGACGCAGCCCCCCTGAAGGCAGCCAGCTGGCCAGGGGCAGGTATAAAGGTTAACAGCTTTACCAAAGGAGAAATGAAGGTTTCTTTAAAAGAATAAGAAGGAAGACAGCTGGAGGTACCCGGGGAGAAAAAAGAAAAAAGAGAGACTGAGATCTGCCAGCCAAGTAGCAGAGCGGAGCCCCTATGGTCCCCTAGGAGCCAAGTTTTCATGTATCTGATGACAGTTTTTGAATACCCCACCCACAGCTTCTCTCCTCTATGCTCTGCACCCCTAATTCCTTTGGATGATGCCCCATGTCCTTTTTTGTGAGCACCCCAACGTGTGTGTGCACACCCATGGGCACACATACACATGCTCATGCACATACCTGTATTAATAGACAAAAATACATGCATTCCCATGTACACATGCTCATACATACACCAATATGCACGCATACCCCTAAAATACATGTTCTCACACACATGCATATGCACACGTGTATGCACATAATACACATGCATATACACACTCATGTATGAGGTGTGCGCATGCCTACATACATGCACACACATATGTCCACACACACTACCTGAAGTCGCAGTCGAAGCCCTGTACTCACCGGGCTGAGCTCCAGTGACCCTGTTTTCTTCCCTCTTCCCCGCGCCCCTCCCCTGCAGGTTTTGATTTCAGAAGGACTGGGACAGTTTGCTCAAGATCCCAAGTTCATCGAGGTCACAACCCAGGAGCTGGCTGACGCCTGCGATATGACCATAGAGGAGATGGAGAACGCGGCAGACAACATCCTCAGCGGGGGAGCCCCGCAGAGTCCCAACGGCACCCTTTTACCTTTCGTGAACTGCAGGGACCCAGGGCAGGACCGGGCAGGCGGTGACGAGGACGAGGGCTGTGCATGCGCCCTGGGGCGCGGCCGGAGCGAGGAGGAGCTCGCGGACAGCAGGGTCCACGTCCGCAGCCTGTAGTCGCCGGGGCTGGGGAGACGCCGGGTTTTTATTTGTTTCAATGTTCCTAATGGGTTCGTTTCAGAAGTGCCTCACTGTTCTCGTGACCTGGAGTTAACCGGAACAGCGTCTTCATTCATTCCTGTCCGGACCAGACGCAGAGCTGGGTGGTGTGCGGAGCCGCTTTGCAGGGGGAAGAGGAGCCGCCAGGCGGCGCGTGCACCGAGGGGAGGCTCGGCGGTGCGTGGGCCGGAGGGGAGCAGCCCTGGAGCCGCTCGGTCCCCTCCCCTCCGAGCGAGCCGGGACAACCGCGGCTACCTGCGGGGCCCTCACCAAAAGGACGCTGTGCCAAACGGGTGTCTTCAACTTTGCTTGTATAAAAAGAAAAAGAAAAGAAAGAAAATCATTTGCACATACTCTGTATGCGCCTCACTGTGTCCGCAGAGCCGGGGCCCTGGCGGAGCGAGCGGGGCCTGACCTGAGCGGGTCCCGCGCGCGGCGGCAGAGCGGTGGGCACAGGCGCGCGGGCCTGGCAGTGGCAGAGGGGCCGCCCCGGCCCCGGCCCCGGTCCAGGTCGCTCTCCCGCGGGCTCCGGATCTGCAGCCGGTCCGCAGGCGGCGGCGGAGGAGGAGGGCTGGGCCGCCGGGGTGGCCGAACCAGGCGGTGCTGTGAGCTGGTTGAGCACTCTTTTGTTGGGTAATTTGGAATTTTTCTTGACAGCATGTTGCGGTTTTCGGACCCTGTTTGTTTTCTGATTTTTTTTTTCCGGTTTTCCCTGCGGGAGGGTAGGAAGAAGAGGGTTTGCAAATTTCATAGCTGCCCACCCTACTTGTTTCACTTTTGCATATGTAAATCGGGTTTGGTTTTACGTATTCTTTAATAGTTGTGGTTTCCTTTTTTCCATTTTCCATGGTCAGAGGGCTCAATAGAGGCCGCGCTCGCTCGGGGAGTTTTACCAGCCATTGTGTATGCCCAGTAATTTGTTATCATTTCCTTAGGTAGTAATAGTTTTTTCCTTTCTGGTTTGGTTGGAGTTTATATTTTAAAGTTCACTGGCAATGCACTTGAGATGGTCTTGCACCTGTGGGCGACTGAGTGGGTGGGTTCCTTTTTATGCTGAGTGTGTTGACAAGGTGTGAGAGAGGACGCTGAGAGTCTCTACGAGTGGTTATGAGTGCGTGGGGCAGTGGGCTGTCTGTGCACATGTGTCCGCCAAGCGTACCTGCACTCACAGTGTGCCTGTGTGCACGAATGAGCCCAAAGTTCCTCCTTGCTGGCTTAACTGTGGGGAGATCTGAATCTGGGGCCATCTGAAAGCAAAAACAAACCACTATCTGCTTCTGAAACGGGAATCAGTAACTGCATTTTCTGTCCCACAAGATATGCAAAAACAATGCAATAATATTCATTTTAAAAAATATAATCGTGTTGTGTTGGCATTAAAACTGTATTTAAAAAAACACAGAGAAATTTAAGGGAAAAACTCAAGAAGGCATTTTGCTTCGATATATTCCGTGTAATATTTTATTGCATTGATAATGTTTCTGTTGAAGAAACCGTTATACTTGAATTCAGGTCAGTTTCAGTATTTTTCAAATATTTTTTTAAAACTGAATTGCAATTGTGCCAAGCGAATATAATGAATTGAATTGTTTGTTTTTGAATTCACTTCTTGTATATTTTGCTGCATGTAAAGTAAATCATTTTGTATTTGGAGTGTGATAAGCTTTACCTTTGAGCTCTTAAGTGCTTTTCTCTATGTGGTTGGGGAAAAGGGAATGTTTTTTGATTTGTGCAACGAGCAGAGGCATCTTCAGTGTAAGTCATTATTCTGCTATCCACAAACAGGTTTGGACATTACTGTTTTGCATATCTTGTGTTCACTTTCATTGCCCTTGATTTTGCCAAAATCCTGGAATAGGTACATTTGTCCACATCGCGTGCTCTGTGATACCAGGACACCTCACTCAGGCCTTCGGTCTCTCTACTCTGACTTGGTACTTGTCTAGGAGCAGCATTTGCCTTCAGGTGCAGTGAAGGATCAGCAACCTCCACAGGACAGGTGACCGGGTTCTCTGGTCACGCAAAGCACAAACGTTAGTTTTTTTCAGTAAAGCCCATACAGACTAAGATGAAACTCAGGTCAGCTAGTAGACAAGGAGGGACACCCTCACTTCTGACAACTGGTTTACTGAACTGCAGCTAGCAGGGGCTGGAGAGAGGTCCCAGAGAAAGACCATGACCCACTCCGGAATTACTCTCTTTCGTATTCACATCCTCCTTTCTCAGGATACAAGATTCCCTTAGACCTAACCTAAAGTTTGTGGCAGTAAAGGAAGGTACCTGGACATGGGAGACAGCATTAGGAGCCCACAGTGGGAGAGGAAACAGATTTCACGAGGGCATTTCTTATGTTTATTTGCATTTATCTGGAGCATCACCTCATTGGTGCTGTGTCCTTCAATTACATATCAGCAGGGAGGGTTGAAAAGGAACTGATTTATAGAAAACAGGACCAAACCACTCCCCAGAATTTACCCATTGACTTTCTTCAGTCCCAGTGTTCCTTTGGCCCTTCTTTGCACTTACACAAGCGCACCAGAGATTCAGTAGGGAACATTCCTTTCCTCAGTGAAGATGAATTGTCCTCTTATGCACTGACTTATGAAAAAGCAGAGAAGTATGCCTGATACGCTGTGGTTAAACAGTCTATAAACAGTGTTTCTTTGTGTTTTTCCACACTGGGCCACCTGAATATTTATGGTTCCTATTCTATTCCAATAAGGTCCTGTAGAAATTAAAGTTAGATGGCAGCCTTGTCTGGTTTCCCAGAATGTGTACATCTGTTCAGGCTTTAATTGTGGTAGAGAAGGAGCCCTTTGGATTCAGTGTCTGGTCTTTGCTGTACCCTTGGCCTCCAGAGAGAAACGTGGAATTTTGATTGATTATACCATGCACCTCTCTCCCTTTTCATGCTGACCTATATTGCTTGGAACTTTCGATCCACATTACCAAGTCTCATTGGCCACTGGGGCTATGGGGTGCTTTTGCCAGCAACTTGCAGGGTCCTGCCCACTGTGGCCTCCCAGCCCTGTGTCATGCACACCCGCTGGCCAGCTTTTCTTTTAAAGCCAGCACTGGCAAGGAGACAAGAGGAGTCCACCCCGTGTGCCCCATGAGAATGGTGTCAGCAGGAACACAAGCCCCTTGCCTAGCCTGGGAGTTCCCTCTCCAGGACAGTGGGGTTTTTTTTAGCTTGACCTCACAATCACCTAGTGTAAGACTGACATGTGATGCGCATCACCATGACAGAGTGGCAAAAATCAGCGAACTGAGTTCACAGTGGACTGTGTTCCCTGTCTACCTGAAATGGAGTTGTCCCCATGACCCTGTCCATCATAATCATCAAATGTGTGGTAGCCCTTCTGACAACGTTTGAGCATTTCTGACAATCAAAAGGACTTTGAGGAATGTAAATTACATTTTATAGTTTGAAAATCTTCATTTTTATTTGCTATCTTACTAGCTCTGCCTCCTTTATCTCCAGCTATTGCTCTTTTAGTAATTTTCATGTGCATGAATTAAGCAGCAAGAGCTCCAGCTGTCTCTTTCCTGCCTGATTTGGGAAGGCTCTTTAGGCCTTGAGATTAAGAAGAGAGATGAGGCTGGGGGTTTAGCTCAATGGTAGACTGCTTGTCTAACAAGCATGAGGCCCCAGGTTCTGTCCTCAGCACCAAAGAAACTAAAAAGGAAAAGAAAGAGAGTGGGAAAAGAAAGAAAGGAAAAAACCTTTCCCTAAATTTTGACTTGATTCATAAACTTTTTTTGCTCTTTTGATTCAGAAGCAATTAGAGACCACTTCACTCAAGCCGACAGGTTTCCCATGTTTCTGGAAAACCCACAGTTAAGGACAAGCTTGTCTTTGATCCTCCTCTGTATCCCTGACTCCACATCCCAGTGCTCCTGTAGAAGCTCTCAGTCCCTACCTCCAGTCCGAATTCCTCCAGGACTCCTTGCAGCCACCTAAAGGAGAAGGACCACCACAGGAGTACCCTCCTGGTCACAGTCCTTTCTGAGAAGCCAGAACACACAAGAAGGAAGGATCTGGAAGGGTGGTGGCTGTTTCCCAAAGGCCAGCTGGTAGACTCCCACCACTCCCAAAGTTCAAGAAATAGGACAAGGATAGGTTGTGTTGTTACCCTGGTTAGTGGGATTTCAGCCTCATCAAGCCAGGTTGTATATATTGCCAAGGAAGACAATGATACCTCCATCCCCAGGGACCTAGAATAAGTGAAATGCTGTGGTCTAAGAGTTAGAAGCCCTTTGCAAAGAGGCCAGGAAGAGGGTTTTCTGAGTTCCAGAGGAGCTTTCAAACCCTGGGAAAGTCAAAAAAAAAAAGAACCTTACTTATAGAGTCCAGGCCAATTCTGTTTTTGGTTTTATTTTGTTTGCCTTCGGGGTGCCTATGGATCTAACTCAGGGGTTCTCTACTACTGAGCTACATCCCTGGCCCTTTTTATTTTATTTTGAGATAAAGGTTCTCTAAGTTGTCTAGCCTGGCCTTGAACTGATGATCTTCCTGCCTCAGCCTCCCAGGTAGCTGGCATGTTCTATCATGCCCAGCTCCAATTCTGTGAGGAGGTTTTTTTGTTTTTGCTTTTGGTTTTGTTTTCAAATCCATTTTATTTCAAGGAGAAAAGGGAAAAAAGCTTAAACAATTTCAAAACACGTCAATCAGGGTCCAATTCTGTGTTTTAAAGATCTAGCTCTGGGGAAGATGTTAGCACAGAGAACCAGAGGGAAAGTGGAAGAAAAAAAGGCGTGTTTTGGCTTCCTTTGTATCTGTCCTCATTTTCTGTTGGACCTCACCCAGTGACCTCTACAGGGAAGTACAGGACAGAGGTTAATCCCTGGAGGATCTATTTTAGGAGGTGAGGGAAATATAATTCCAGGCCAGTGCTGTTCTCCCTGCCACATCGACCCACCTGTGAAGGTCCTGTCAGCCCTGAGATGGGGGTCGCCCTGCAACCCCCAAAACACACTTCCACCAGAAGGCAGGAGAGGGAGCCCTGGCT